GGATACTTCTCTTGAGGCCAGAGTCCCACACTGGTAAATATTTTGTGCGTAATGGCATTTCCTCCTGGATACACCTCGGCTGGCATGACTGGTCTTGACGGCATGTGTTTTGCTACCGCAGAGATGCGGTTGGAAATTTAAGCAGAGCATGTATTTTGCAACCGCAAGAATGCGGTTGGTAATTTTTAGCAGGGTGACGTCAAGCAGTTGCTACGGTTGCAAGTTTCTAGCAGAGCACGTGTTTTGCGACCGCAGGAATGCGGTTGGTAATTTTTAGCAGGGGGACGTCAAGCAGTTTGCTACGGCACGCATGCGGTTGCGCAGAGCAAAAGGGCTGTAATTTTGACATGGTTTGGGTGAAATAGAGACACTGATGGGATCCGGAATAATCCGAGTTGAGAGTACAACTTCATTTTGATTCGGGGTGTCAAGCTGTCAAATATTTGAGCCCCTTGACGACCGAAATGATAGAGCATTTTGCTCTTTCTACATGACCCAGACAGAAAATCGGAGGGATGCATACTCCCCTGAAGTAGTATCTGAGAATCCGAATATCTAATTTTTATCGTTATCGGTCAACACATAAAAGAGGGAAAGTGTTATCAGTGTCAAAGGGAGGTTAGTGTTCGGAATTTGGCTACCGCCTACCTCTTGGTTCAACTGCGAGAACCTTACCGCACAGCCCGCAGCTACCCCACGATATAAATTCCCCAACTTGAATCTGGCCTACCCATTCTGTTTTCCCCCCACTACGCTTCCTCCTTCAACCATTTTATCGCCGCCCTGAAACAATGCATTGCGCAAATCAAACCTCAACCGTATCCGCTTTGTGAGCTCGTGGTTTGGTCTCAAGCTCTCAAGATCTCAAGTTTTGACCTCAATTTTTGGACTGCTGATCTCGAATGCTCCCCATCCTACTGGCAAATTTGTGTATTCCTCTTCCGCGTGGCTGCTTCAACCGACTGTGTAAGGAGCTGAGAACACCTAGGTTGAAATTCTGAACCATCATTTCCACAATCACGCGGGCCCTTCTCTTTCTCGCGGGTTCGGACACGCGTGAGACTGACTTGACGGGAGCTCAGTGCAGCCTAGTGCATTTCCATACTGGCTATTCCCTCTTCGGACACTGTTTTATAATAATGTTCACCCGTCATAAATATATACATCCTTGCCCGAGAATTCAGAAATGGTGCCCTGAATTTCTCGCTCAACCTCGACCTTCGTCTGCCGGAGCGAAGCGGAGGACTTATCTTGTATACTTCTTGTTTTTATCTTCGGGCCTCTTTCTATGACCAAGACGTGTTTCACTCAGCGCTCAGAGCTCCGTTCCGAACGGAGTTCAAATTTAGGTTTCTTCCCACATAGCCACAAAAGGTGTGTGGCCGCATGCTATGGGTGCTGTCTCTTTCTGTCTGCCCCCACGACCCCTGTAGCGTCCTTCTCATCCATGGCTGAGCTGACTGTAGGACTCATCGGGGCCGCTGCAACTGTGGGAGCAGCACAACTCACGACGGGCGCTGGCTTCATTGGACGCCATGAACGTGCTCACCGCGAGGAGACGATGGAAACCCGACGGAATACGGAGGAGTTCCTCGCCAACGTTCGTGGTGGAGATGTTACACAGGCGGAAGAAAGAGAGTTCAAGAGGGTCAGGGACAAGTGCGTATTACTACAATCTGCGACACACGCACTGCTGAGGCGGTGTACGACAGGGCTATTCAGCAGCAAAACGAATATCATCAAAGCATTCAAAGCGGGACCAACGAAACTCGGTACGTACATACATTCGAATGTACGGCACATTCCATCATGCACGGCACATTCCCACAGAATGTGCCGTGTTTGATCTCGGCTAGGGTTCGGTTAGGTTAGGGGTTCGGTTAGTGGTTTGGTTAGGTTCGGGTTAGAGGGTTAGTGGTTCGGGTTAGAGGTTAGTGGTTTGGGTTTGAGTTAGAGGTTAGAGGTTAGGGTTCAGGTTCAGGTCAGGGTGGGGAATCTATCTAAAAAAAGTGAATCTGGACTTGTGTTTTTCAGCTCGAAGGCTTTTTTGATGGGGGATCATGAATCAAACCCGGCACATCAAGATCAATGTGCCGTGTTTCAGGCCTTTGTGCCGAGCATTCGAATGTACCGAAGTATCGAGCTTTGTATATCCTCCATTCAAAGCTACAAGGCAGTTTCGCGGGTCAATATTCCAAGGAAGCTCAAAGAACAAAGTCATATAAGGAGAGCGAAACGGTCGATACAGGAAACGAATCATTCTCTAAGGAATCTTAACGAGGTGAGATTCCGTAGTAATGTGGGGATGTTTGCTAATGAATGGGAAGGCAATGAGTTCAGGGTCCGACACCTCGTCCATTACTGCGTCTTCGGGCTCTCTGCCTGGATCCAACCTGGCTTCTGATGACATCCATACGTGGGCGAACGCCGTACGCAAGACCACGAAAACTGATGACTCGGACGATTCGGATTCTGAGGACGGCCCGGGTCGCAATCCTCAGGTTAGGCAGATAATTGAGCAATTTAGGGACAGGGATGCTGGTGTGCGCGATTTTGCCGCTAGTGTATTCAGCACTTTAGCTGAGCGTCGTAAGTAAACCCTTGTGAACTTGCGTGCATCCGTTGATGGATTATAGCTGCGTCTCATGAGGCCATGAAACGTGGTATTCCCCAGTTCTTTGTCCTTCTCGCAGACGAGAAGTGGAAAGTCCGTCGGGCTGCGATAAATACATTTAGGAAATTGGCTGATCATCGTACGTGACTGCTGTGGTATTTCTATTTCTCTCTAATCGAATGCTAGCTTTCTTCCATGAAGCCATGAAGGCCGGCATTCCGCAGCTCGTTCACAACTTCCAAGTCAATAACTCAAATGTCCGAAATTCCGCGATCAAGGAATGTGGGAAATTGGCTGCTCATCGTAGGTGACTGCTGTGGTATTTCTATTTCTCTCTAATCGACGAGCGCGTAATTCGGAAAGACCGTTCGCCGCCGCCCCCACTCACACTGCGCCGCGGGAGCGACTCTAATCGAATGCCAGCTCCCTTCCATGAAGCCATGCAGCCCGGCATTCAACACATTGTTGGCAATTTCGAAGATAGCAACTCAAATGTCCGAAATTCCGCGATCGAGGCATTTGGGAAATTGGCTGATCATCGTAGGTGACTGTTGTGGTATTCCCATTTCTCTCTAATCGAATGACAGCTCCCCTCCATGAAGCCATGCAGGCCGGCATTCAACACATCGTTGGCAATTTCCAAGATAGGGACTGTGATGTCCGGAATTCCGCGATAGATACATTTAAGAAATTGGCCGAGCATCGTAGGTGACTGCTGTGGTATTCCCATTTCTCCCTAATCGAATGACAGCTCCCCTCCATGAAGCCATGCAGCCCGGCATTCAACACATTGTTGGCAATTTCCAAGATAGCAACTCAAATGTCCGAAATTCCGCGATAAATACATTTAGGAAATTGGCGGAGCATCGTAGGTGACTGCTGTGGTATTCCCATTTCTCTCTAATCGAATGCTAGCTCCCTTCCATGAAACCATGAAGGCCGGCATTCAACACATCGTTCGGAATATTCAGTCTAGCGACTCAGATGTCCGGGTTTCTGCGATAAATACATTTGGGAAATTGGTTGATCATCGTAGGTGACTGCTGCGGTATTCCCATTTCTCTCTAATCGAATGACAGCTTCCTTCCATGAAGCCATGAAGCCCGGCATTCAACACATTGTTAGCAATCTTCAAGATAGCGACTTGGATGTCCGGTCTTCTGCGATTAACACATTTGATCATTTGGCTAAGCATCGTAAGTCGCCCTTGCGCATATATTTTCATGTGCGCCTCACATTCACTCACAGCCGCCTTTCATGAGGCCATGAGGTCTGCCATTGATGCCTGAGAGGCTAGTGATCCGAATACGAGCCAGTCTGCCACTGTGGCACTCGGAAAATTGCCCTCCTCGTTATAGTAGTTTGAATGAACCATCCGCTTGAAACTCTGGGTTCGTTGAATATTGGTCCCTCCCATTTTCGGCATCCACGTCGGCACGGAAGGCGTCCAGCAGCTCGCGCGGTGTGCTGAAGTCAAACTCAAAGTCAAAGCTCGGCCGGCTCAAGTCAAAGTCGAAGCTGGGCGGCGACGGGAGGGTAAAGTCGAACTCGAACCGCAAGCTGGGGACGCCGTGCAGGCTGCGCAGACGTGCGCTCAGCGTCGGTACGTATGAGAGGGGGCGCTTGACGGTGAGGACGTCCTTGACGAGGCCAAGGCCGAGGTCGGGGAGGTCGGGGAGGTGGGAGGAGACGTCGGTGCGGATTGCGCGGAGCATGTCGAGTGCGCGGGCGGCAGGGGAGTCGGCGTCGAAGAGGGCGAGGCGGCGCTCGAGGTCTGCGAGGTAGGAAAGGACGAAGAAGCGGAGGGAGGCGAGGGCTTGGGCGGACGAGGCTGGGGAGAGGTCCAGCGCTTCGAGGGAGAGCCGGAGGGGCCGCCACGGCGGGAGACCAAGATTATGTTGCCCGTCCCAAAAAAGATAGGACCAAGAACACCAGCGGGAGCCCGAGATGCAATCTGTTCTTCATATGCAAGGGAAATCGAACCATGGGAACATTGTCTGAGTCCGGACTTGACGTGGAGTCTAATTCAATCACTCTCAGAGGTCTTCAGATCTGTTACATACTTACATTGACCATTCACAGTAGCCCTTAAGCCTCTGTGGATCAATGTGAGATCATCTCGGATTGTTGGTTCGCCGTACAACTTTTCTTGAGGAGAATGTGGGTTCGAATCCCACAAGAGGCATACTTCTTCCAATGATCCTTTTTTCTGCCCTTGCGCTGTTTTCTGTCTTTGAAAACTTCCGTCTTTAGTCGCCACCCACAACTTCCAAGATGGCATTACCATTGCCAAAAAATTAAGTTGAACGGAATTCCAGGATCCCGAGCCCAAGTTTATTCAGAACTTCTTATTCCATATCTCAGCCAATATCTAGAGTACAATCACGCCTCTGTAGGTCAATCGGAGATCGCTTCGAATATGTATCCCGAGAGTCTACAGCTTTTCGAAGAGATGCGGGTTCGATTCCCGCCGGAGGCTTGGGCAGTTGATTCCGTGCTTTTTCCTCGAACATGTACAGCCCGCGGCGTCTTTTTTACTCCTCGCGTTTTTGTCTTGTATTCAGAAGGAACTCATGATGCAAGGCCGTTAAATACACATGAGTTTGATTTGGTTTCCGCACAACACACTCTGCCGGGCCTTGGGGTTTCCTCAACAGCTCACACAATCCCTCCCCTCTTCCCTTCATTCCAACCCTCAAGAGGTATACATTTCGTATGAACACAGTTCAAGCGAAGAACAAGAGCCCGTCTACATATCAAATCGAACCGTGGGAACATCCTCGGGAATCACCGCCGCTGCGCCAAGTTCAAGCATGCCCCGCGTTCGTTCAGGATTGTTAAATTTAATGAACAGCCCTTGAGCCCTTAGGACTGGTTCGAGTCGACGTCGACGAGTTTTCCCCATTCCATCATATCGCTGGCGTCCAGTGATCCTGAATCATGCGGCAATACAAATTCAATCACTCACAGTGTTCACCCTGCTTCTTCCTTGATACATACCTATATCAAACATCCCCAATGGCATTCAAGCCTCTGTGGATCAACAGGAGATCACTTCAGATTATTACCTGTGGGTCATTGCGATTCGTGAGGAGATGTGGGTTCGAATCCCGCCGGAGGCATGATGTCAAACATGTCGTCCTCCCTTGTGTTTTCTTCCGCGGTCAACCCTTGCGCCGCTGCCTACCATGACCGTTGCCGAAAGGTACTAGCACAGATCAAGTTAAACTGAATTCGACGGTCCTCCCGATGTTTATTTCCATCCACAACTTCTCACCTATGTATGTACTTATCACCTGTCCCAGTCACCTCTGTCGGAGATCGCTTTGGGCATGTTCCACGGCGTAGGAACACTTCTCAAAGAGACACGGGTTCCATTCCCACCAGAGGCTTGACGAGCGACGTTAGGTTTTTTGTTCCTCCGTCTTTTTTGCTTCTTGCCTTATTTTTACAAGTAGTACTGTAATGAGGGAGTCCAAATCGATGGAAAAGCCATACATGAGTTGTTTGCCCTCTACACAACCGAGGTTGGCTTTCCTCAACAGTTCACACAATTCATGCACCTCTTCCCCTCATTCAATTTGGCAAATTGAACAAAATCATCCAGTATTACCCAACACAGTTCAATGGATGAAACAGAAGTTTCAAATTCCAATTGAACCGTAGGAACATCCTCGGCGATCACCGCTGTTGAGTTCAAGCATGCCCCGCCGTTCGTTGGGGATTTCTAATCAACAACCCTTGTGACTAGTTCGGCTCTACCAGCTTCTCCCATTTCATTATACCGCTGGCAGTTTGTGCGTCTGAACAAGCTGCGCAGCTCAAACACCATACTTACATTCAGTTACTCACCCTACTTCCGAGTCTCCCTGATTCAAATCTGGTACATACTTATATTGAGCATCCACAGGAGCGTCCAAGCCTCTGTGGATCGTTGGGAGATCACCTCAGATTACTATATGGTGTAGTCTTTCAACTTCTTGAGGAGACGTGGGTTCGAATCCTGGCGGAGGCTTCGGCAGTCGGAGTCCGTTCTTCTTCCTCGCGGTCTTTTTTTGCTCCCATACTATTGTCTATGAACACAGTCTAACAAGAACAGGAACACGAGGGGAAGCGCGAGAGGCTTTTTTTAAAATGCGGACAGATTAAGTCGGACAGTAAGGAAACACTCGGGAATTGCTGTTGCTTGATTGAAGTACGCCACGCCTGGCCATGTCAATCGGGAGTTGTATCCCTCCCGGCGCCAGGACCGTTCCAGATTCAACTTACTTCTGCCCCGCCGCACAGTACACAACAACTCTCGGGAGTCGCAAGAGATCGTGTTCCTTCGAACGCTCAACAGGTTCACTTATCTTTCTCTTCCTCCCCTTCACACTTCCCTTCTCCAATCTGTTTACTTCCAAGCCTCTTTGAATCAAGGCAAGATCACCTCGGATGAGTAAATCGGGAGATGTGGGTTCGATTCTCACCGGAGGCGTTCATCGATTCTTATCTGAAACGCTGATAATGGATAGTCTACCGAATGAACATCAAATATTTATTAGTCACATATTTCTGAATCATGTATAAAAGGACAGTAGAGTAGAGTGGAAGAGGAGCAGACTCCCTGGGGCGGTGACCTGACAAGTCATTGGTTCTAGTTGGTTGTGCTCTCGGACTGCTGGTTGCTACACGCACTTGTATTCTGGACAAACTTGATTGAATTAGATTGGATTGTATTGGATTTGAACCTGAACGGAATTGGACTCGCACGGACTTGATTGACTCGCACGGACTTGATTGAACGGAATTGGACTCGCACGGACTTGGACTCACATGGACTTGAACCTGACTTGCACGGACTTGAACTATTTGACCGAACTATTCCGCAACTCGAACTGAACGTTCTTGTGTGTGTGTGACCTGTTACCCCAGAACATTGACAAAAATCCCACGCCAGTCTAAACCACCGTTACTTGCAATAAAACCCGCTTTCGAGCAAAAACCCCAACTTGTGTTGAATCAGACCGTCAAACAGACCGTCCTGCTCCTTCAATTTGAAGTAGAGCCAAAGCCATAGCGCATTGAAAGAACTCGACTCATTTGGTCTATACAAGCCTAATACTTGGCTTTCACCCCCGAACAAACCTGTTCATCACCCAGTGCAGAGAGTGGTAGTTTTAGTGTTTAGTTTTGGTTTAGTTGGATATACTCCGTCTATCTCATTTCTAGCATTTTCCATCCATGCACGTAGTGAAGACCTTTCACCGTGCAAGTTGAATTTGCAGAATTTGCCCAGTTCAGAACCTTGCATCAGTCAACCACAGTTGGAATGCAAATTTTCTGCCGATGCGAGGGAGTTGTAGGTTATCAGGGAAATTAAGGTTCTGAACTGGGCAAATTCTGCAAATTCTGTGTGCATGGGGGGGAATTGAATTTCCCTGGCCGGCGAGAACACTGGAGGTCCCAGTGATGGTGCAGTTGAGTCTCTAGGTAGTCCTCCTACAACTGGGCAAATTCTGCGTGCACGGGGGGGGGGGATTTGATTTCCCTGGCCCGCAAGAAGACTGGAGGTCCCAGTGATGGTGCAGTAGAGTCTCTAGGAAGTCCTCCTACAACTCCCCTGCATTGGCAGCAAATTTGCATTCCAACCATGGTTGACTGCTGAAAGGTTCTGAACTGGGCAAATTCTGCATGCACGGGGGGGAATTTAATTTCCCTGGCCCGTGAGAACACTGGAGGTCCCAGTGATGGTGCAGTCTAGTTTCTAGGAATTTGTCCTACAACTCCCCTGCATCGGTAGAAAATTTGCATTCCAGCCGTGGTTGACTAAGCAAAGTTCTGAACTGGGCAAATTGTGTGTGCACGGGGGGGAATTTAATTTCCCTGGCCCACGAGAACACTGGAGATCCCAGTGATGGTGCAGTCGAGTATCTAGAATACAAAGATCTGACCCCATCGAATTTGACCAAATTTTGCAGAATTCCCCCTGTAAATCCCCCTGCTAGTGTGCTAGGATGGCACACACTCTGAGTGCTTGATAAGCACCTTTGACCCGAATATCAGCCACCCCCAATTATGGTTTTCATTCATTTAACAGCCCCCCCTCCCACACATTGAGTTTTACCTGGCAGTCTGCAGAGCTCGCCTTTGATTACAAAGGGAGCAATTCCCCCAGTCTAACACTGGCTGTACCTTTTCTCTTCGATCCATCGCTCTGCAGAGCACCCCGAGTTGAATTGAGCAACTTCTGTCTTCTCTGGGGCTCCATTCTGCTTGCACCATCCCCTGTGCCGCTCAAGGGCACCCCCAGTTCTAAAAGCACACAGGCTAGCAAAACAGCTCATGTGATTCTCTTCTCTTCCACTGCCTACCCTCCTTTCCTTATCTAATTCTTCAATCCAACATGTTAGTTTTAAGCCAGGTTTCAAGTTTTTCACCAGTATTTTCACCTGAAAAACTCCTGAATTTGTGGTGGAAAACTTGAAATGGAGGTTTCAAATTTTCCACTGGAAAACTCAAATTCAGATTTCAAGTTTTTCACCTTAATTCCAGGCGAAAAATGTCTGAAAACTGTTTTGACTTCTTCACCTACACCGCCATTTGGCCGACACCTGGCCGCTAGGTGCAGCCAACATGTGTGTCACATGTCGCCCGCAACCGGCGGTCATGTGGCGGTGGGCTGGCCGCTATGTTCAGTCGCCAATAGCGACATCGTGCCGCCACTTCCAGCTGGCAGCCAGCTGCAGAGCCGACTGGCACTCAGATGACCATACATTGGCGGTACACATCCCGATATTCTACATTTCGGGGTTCTGGTGCACGCAAATTAGGAAACACATAAATTGCCAAATGTCTACTACAAACAGTTGAATCTACACATCTGCTATTGCAGGAGCGGAGATGGGACACACCAACAAACAGTAGCATCACACAAAGGCAGGATGAGGAAATCCTGGATGCAAATATGCCGAGGAGGATTGAGAGATATGTCGAGGAGAACGTGAGTTATACGCCAGCAGTTGGAAGAGAGGTACACCGTTCAGCGCGTGATGCGGAGCGCATGCTTGAATTTTGAAACCAGGGAAGAGCGACGGCTTGACGACGAGGTTGACATATTCAGGTTCTTGAGGAGGTTTGAGACTTTCGACACTTGCCGAGGCGTCGAGGTTGAGCAAGCTTGAAATCTTGACTTGGTAAGTATATTGAAGACTTGGTTCAACCATTTTCAGCGTGAAAGAACTATTGATTGATAGGGTTGCTTGCTGAGCGGTCCTGTTTGAGCTTCAATCGACCATTTTGACTGCGGAGAGGCAAGAAAGTTGATGTGAAGGCACGAAGTCGAAGTGCGCCGGCCTTCAAGAGTAGAAGAAGGTCGGAGAAGAAAGACCAATGTGTCGGGTGGGCGGGGTGGGGACCGCCGTTGAGACTTGAGAGGTCGCCTTGAGGGCGTGTGGTCTCGCCGGGCGAGATTGATGATAGAGGTTCGGCCGTTGTATG